TGTTGCTAACAATGGTCTCTGTGAGCCATATTTACTACAGACAAATAGCTCGTTTACATTGCGTTTGTCTGAATCACAGGGAATGTTTAATTTGTCGCAAATTTGTCAAAAAAATTTGAAAGCCAACTTACCATCATCAACCCGTGCTCTGTTCTCTGATAAAGCATGCTCTTTCAGCCAATCAGAGCACACGTATGGAAACTTTATTATAATTACATGTATTATTTATAATGAGTATCATAAAATGTTCAATATTCTATAGCACACATCCAGGACAGGAAAAAAAATTAAAATCCAGTTGCCCAGTAGGCCAGTACATATCAGTTTTTAATATTACTTCTTACTTATCAATTATTACCTGTCCAGTGACAACAAAAATGATGATGAAAAGAAATGCAGAATGTTTCTGCTTTTCGTTGCCATCTTGAATCTACCACATGCTTAATTAGTAGTGCCAGACTTCTGTTGTATGCAACATCCAATATGGCAGCCAGTATGGTGATCCGAGGACGAACGCAAGCAAAGTATGATTGGATTTTGAATAAATCCATGTTTTTAACTCATTGTTTTGCTCATCTTGCAGTCTTAAATTTTGAAATTGTTTTTGATCGGAAAATATTACTAACAAGACCAGTGAGGCTAATTTCACTTGCCCACCGGACCACCAAACTTGCCCAAGAGGAAAATTTACTTGCCCTGGGCAGTGGGACCTGTGTTTTTTCCTGCCCTGACATCCATGAAAATCAGCAATGTCAAAAATAGTGACTTCACAGTAATTACTGCAGTGGAGCTTGAAAGCAGTAAGAAATGAAACACAGAAAACTGCTAACAGATAAAAAAAGTCACAAGAGTACATGTACTATTCTCAGAATTTGTTCAATGGTGTGTTCCTTGTCTATATGTTTACTTAAAGGACTGATGTTTAATTGACTGTATTTACATTTATTTTATTTATTTATTATAAAAATTATTTTTGTTTTTGATCATTTTGGAATGTCCAGGTCTCCCACCCATCAAGAAAGTTTTTTATTGTGAGCATCATTCAGTTGCAAACATGGATGAAGAGGAGGTGGAGAAATTCAGGTAATACAGCCTGTGTACCTTTGACATGTACTGTAGAGTAGATGAATCCTTTAAGACTACCAAGGCTGAATCAACTAATAAGACCACTTGCAAAAAATTGTTTGCCTGGGAAGAAATTCAGAAAAGCACATAGTACATAAAAGTTCTGAGTGCTAAAATAGCAAGTTAGAACCACTTTGTAAAATGTATACATGTACATGCTCACATGATAAACACTAGATGAAGGTGGTGCTCAATACTCTGTAGCTCTCCTTTAAAAGGTCATTATGGTGTCATCTGTGGGAGGTGTGGTGACCTCATGGTTAGTGTGCTTGTCTCTGGATTGAGTGGTCCGGGTTCGAGCCCTGGCCAGAGACGTTGTGTTGTTTTCCTGGGCAAGACACTTCACTCTCACAGTGTCTCTCTCCATCTGGGGTACCGGGGAACTTAATGCTGGGGGTACCCCTGTGATGGACTAGCATCCCATCCAGGAGGGAGTAGAAATACTCCTAGTCATTTCAGAAACCAGGATAAGCTCCGGCCTGATGGGCCACCAGGCTTGTATGCAGACTATGGTGTCATCCGTATTGCTGTTTACATGTACTAGTTACATAGCTTTTATTTTAATGGTTTACTGGTGAGTCTAGATTTCATCCAACCTATTAATGTACCATAGGAAGGACAGTTTTAAAATTTGAAACCTTTTTTTAACAGAGCTTGATGAATCTTTGTTTTGGAAGCTCCTGCCTTATGGGTGAATGACTAGCTTCAAATTCACTCTTCTTGACAAGTATTGACCAATTTTACCTTTCCGTTCTTAGATCTGATAATAACAAAATCATGGTTGAGAACTACGGAGAGACTGTTCAAGGCAGACAGATTCCCAATCCGGTCAGAACATTTGGTGAAGCGTATGCTGATTTCCGTAAGTCTCATTCATTTTTGAAAGTCATCCCAAGGGAGCCCCAAGTATGGCATATTTGTGATCTGTATTTATACATGTACAGTGTATGTCACCAACTCACATCAGCATAGTTCCAGTGTTATGTAAGTTATAGATTGTGCACATTTTTGATGTTGCAGCTGAAATCATGGCAGAAATAGACAAAGCAGGATTCACAAGGCCGTCTCCAATCCAGGTTAGTCAAATGTACATGTTGTAGTTCAGTTTTGCCTCTGGAACGATTTCTTTCTGAACTAGTGCAACATTTTGTATTTCATAGCAAAGTTTAAGAAATGCTACGTGTATCATGGACCATCACCTCCAAAACCAATTATTTATTTTTATAAGTGGATGGAAATTTGATGAAAGGGCTGTTATGTATATACAATGTATATGTTTTACATGCTCAGGGTTGTGACATCAAATTGAAAAAGTCTTTGTCAAATTATGTGGTTTTGTTTTGGAAAAACTGCTGAAAAACTACAATCACGTAATAAGCCGCATATGATATATCAATATTCCAACATGGCTCCAAGGCTTTCAGGACAAAATTGCAAATTTTCAAGATTTCTTTTGTCCAGGCTCAATTCCCAAAAGAGACTTGGATACAAAGAAAACACAATCAAATATAGAAGTTTGCACGGAAAGCCTCGGAGCCGTGCTGGAATATTGATATATTGAATGTGGCCTATTGATCACAATTAATGCTCTCCCTTTGAAAATTCACTTAATTTCTTCATCTTGGAGTTCTAGGGGCATTTTATGTTTGAGCAAAAGTGAGTAGTCATAGTTTTAGCATTGTGTTATCCAAAAATGCAGCAACATTGCAATGATGATGACTGTACGATCTGTGTCATTTTGTTTATTTTAACAGTGTCAGGCATGGCCAGTTATCTTGTCTGGAATGGACTTGATAGGAATTGCACAGGTATGGAATGACCCACTTGTGCTTCTCCAAAGATATTTATTATGGGAAAAAATATCATGGATCAAGTTTAGGTCGTGGTTTTCATACTATTGTCTCAACTATTGTCTCAAAATAAATTACTGTAGTTATTATCAGGCCCTGGTTGTACAGTGGATTGGATAATGTGCGAAATTGTATTCAGGGAGTTGTAGACTCAAACTCCAAAACATACAAGCTAATTAATGAACCAGCCACATAATTCAAAACCTGCAATGAAAAGCGAATTACAATGACTAAACTGCAACGAGGCTAGACTGCAAAATCCGAAACAGCAGAAAGGCTGGCCTAAATCCAAAAGATGGTAAGAAATTACAACTTGTAAAGAAAAGAAATTGGAAAATTATGACAGCAAAGTTCAAACTTGAACAAACAGATAACTCTATCCACTGGATAAATTGCTATCAAGTGGATAGTGCAGTACACTTACAGTGTATACACAGGAAAGCAACTTGTCCAGTGTTTAGCCTGTATACTATTTTGCCATCTTACTGTACTTTTTTTCTTTTAACAGACAGGTACAGGGAAGACACTGGCTTTCCTTCTTCCTGCATTCCTTCATATCGATGGACAAGAAATGTAAATACAAGTCTGTGTATTCAAATAGTATTACATGTATATTAAAATTATTAACTTGGCTTTGTGTATTATTGCTACCTATAATCTATCAGATATTTTAGTTTGTGTGTGATTGGTCTACATGTAAATGCATTCATGTGACTGAATATGCCCCGGTTAAAACTGGGAACATTCTGAAAGTTATGTGTACGTTCCCCAATTTTCAAAACTGCGCGTGTTGGGAAAAATATTTGAAGGATAATAACACAATAACCTCCATTTGGCATGAACATAAGCTTTGATATTTGTCCTTGTCAAAACTCACAGTCTCTCTCGAGTCACGCTCTCGCAAAACTATTTTCTTCTCGGAACAGATATTGTCAGTGGACAAATATTCAAGTATATTTTTGTGTCAGATGGAGGCTATTGTTTATATGTTGTATTTATTAGTTTATAATTGTTTTTTCTGTTGCCATTTCAGACCTCGTGAGAGCAGGGGTGGCCCAACAGTCTTGATTTTGTCTCCCACTCGAGAACTTGCTTTGCAAATTGAGGCTGAAGTCAAGAAATTTCATTACAGAGGAATAAGAAGGTTGGTGGAGTTTTCCTAGTAGTAAGGAATTAGATTTCATAGCTTGTTAAGTTTGTTTAGTTTCAATTTGGCTACTCTACAGTAGTTGCATTAAAATCAGTTGCTGTTATGATTATTTAGGTTGCATTCCAGAATGGAATGACCGTTCCTCGCAGACAGGGTTCAAAAAATGTGCCATCTGGTTGTTTGGGTACAGCCGTCAGGTACATGGAGATTTTCCTGCCAAGCAAGTTACTTTTTATTCTCGCTTGCCCAATGGGTAACGGCCCAGGCAAGTCATATGCCAACAAAATTGTGAAAAAAGTAACCTGTGACCTGCTCAGGACAAGCAAAATTTGAGAGTTGCATGTCTGAAGGATGAGCTGGAATTCAAGATATTTTCAAGCCCTGTTCTCAGTTTAAGTTCTATTGCCTTTGAATTGGAGTGGCTATGGATCTATAGAACAAAATGCTAGTTAAGTACTAGAACTTAAACATACATTATCCATTAGTGAGAGCTTATCTTTTTACTCTTATTTTCAAGTGTGCTGCATCATATATTGCCTTCATCATATCATGCTGTTTCATTTAAACCAAAGTTCTTCTTTCCAGTGTCTGTGTTTATGGTGGAGGGAGCCGCAAAGGACAAATTCAAGTCGTACAAAAAGGAGTGGAGATTGTGATAGGTGACTACATTACTACAAGTGACACTGCGCTCTATCATATCTACTCAATCACATGAGGTTTTTTACCACACCCTTGCCTGGCATCAAGTGTCCGGAGGAGATGTAGTCCTGTCTCTCAGGCTGCTTGGGTCTAGACCAACAGTAGCTGTTGAAAGCATGCAGTAGACAGGGAGAAGAGTTTTTCGCAGTCTATTGATTCTCCGTAACTTAGAGTTAGAATCGTCCCTTATGAGTCACCAGGCTCAGAACAAAGTACTTTGTACTTGGATGTTACATCGAGTGCAAAGAAACAACTTTGGGGCTTGCCTTTTGTGCAAGCTCTAACTTACTACGATGTGTTAGCTCGAAAATCATACTCACTAACCCTCCAAAATGTTTGTCTGTACTTCTGTAATTTGAATTTCCTCAAAAATTTTCCAAATAATCTCCACTTGCCCGTGAGGCAAATGATGCACAGAATCCACTAGTGAACACAAAAATCCACTAGCCCTGGGCTATTGAACAGGACTTTCTTTCCTTACTGTTACGTACAATACCGCTCAAAAGTAAGTTACCACCCTCTCATGAGACAAGAATCTCATCTCGCAGGACAAGACTCCTGTCTTGTGAGGCGAGACTCATCTTTCAAGACAAGTCTGTCGTCTTCTTGTGAGAGCTTGAAAAAGCTGTAAGTGCATGTATAAGGTGAATCTCCATTTTCCAGATTATGGAAGGTAAATTGAAGTAATTGTACTGACAGATTCTGTTCATGTGTAACATTCTCTCTTTATCAGCCACCCCTGGTCGACTGAATGACCTGCTGATGAATGAAATTATGGATGTCAAAAGTGTTACGTATTTGGTAAGATTAAACCACGTCTTAATTTTGAACTTTTCACTTAATCTCCTTCAGTGTAATACATGTAACTGTGGTGCCATTCTTTTCATTGTTTAAGGTTCTTGACGAGGCCGATCGCATGTTGGATATGGGTTTTGAACCAGAAATCAGAAAGATTCTACTTGATATCAGACCTGACCGGCAAACATTAATGACCAGGTACACTGTTCATCCCACCACTGAAACAATCATAGTTGTAACTTCTACATATTATGAATGGTAAAGTCTGAAAGTCTGTTATGACATTAATTTCCGTTTTCTAAACATTTGGTGAAATATCTTATGTAAGACAATGCACCGTTATCTACAATTATGATTTGGTCGAGCCCCAAGCCTTAAAGACACCCACAAGTTTAATGTGGACACCTATTATTATGGACAGTAGTTTTGGTCCTTTTATTATGCATTTTCTTGCAAAGGAGGTCGGTTTCTGAAGCTTCTTGGAATTGTTATCAAGTTTCTTATTTGTTGTCCGTGTTAATCTTCTACAGTCATAGCTGTCCTTGTTTTTCTTGTAAGTAATTTTTTTACATCACAAATACTTTCATGACATTAAATTAACCCGCTGGATAATTTGTATAGATTAACATCTTAAAATTGCTACCTGTCTTATTTTTTCACAGTGCGACTTGGCCTAAGGGAGTCCAGCGAATGGCTGATCAGTACATGAAAGATCCAGTGAGAGTGTTTGTGGGGTCATTGGATTTAAATGTAAGTACACTGTGACATCCCTTGCCCTTGACTTTGGTTTTTGGACCAAAGCCACGTTTTTTCTCAATGCCTTTTTTTTGCGTGGAAGTATAAATACATGTAGGTACTCAAGTGAACTGTTTGGAAAAGCTGACAAGATGCTGGCGAGGGGTCAGCTGGAGGAAGGGGGAGGGGTGGGGGAGAATTTGCGGTGGACCTACGTAATTTAAAACCTACAAACCTAGCATTCCAAATTTTGGGATGCTTGGTCCATTGTTCATATTGTTAAATAATAATGAACTGGAGCTTTACACCACTGGATTTATTCAGAAAATAATTTGAACCCAGGAATATCAGAGCTTATCTAGATGGTCCGGTTGAGGCTGCTCTGACAAAGACCGTTGCTGTGACTGACATTTCAGCAATCTAATAATAATAATAATAATAATAATAATAATAATAATAATAATAATAATAATAATAATAATAATAATAATAATAATAATAATAATAATAATAATAATAATAATAATAGTAATGATCTAATATCTTATATTCTCAGACTCAAGTGAACCGTGTTTTTCAGTCGATGTTGTAGTGTCCGCATGATTTGTTATTGAAAAAACTCTAAGATAAGATAAACTTGTGACTTGGCTCTACAGGCATGCCATAATGTCACACAGCTGGTTGAGGTAGTGGACCCTGATGACAAGAAAGAACGGGTGAGATAGTGTTTGCTAATGTTTACAGTAGCCCCCACGTGCTTTGTATTAATGCATGCGCATATAGAGCGTGCAGTCCATGTGTTTTTGCAAACATTTTACTCGAGTGAAACACGCAACTGCGTGGAAGAAATTATCTGAAAAGTTTTTTTTTTGGGAGGGGGGTGGGGGAAGGAGAAGGGGCCCTGAAGGGGGTGGCAAATTGGAAGGGTGTTAAAAATTGTAAAAATGTCGAGAAAACTTTGTTCCTTGTTGAAAGGCTATGTCACTAATTTTTGTCTTGTTATCCCTTCAGACTCTTCAATTTATTTCAGGGATGAGTGAAAATGACAAAGTACTCATTTTTGTCGGCAAGAAAGTCAAGTAAGATTTGTGCGCCTTTCATTTCATTCCCATTTATTAGCTATATGTGCAGTCATACCTACATGTTTAAAGCCACTTGTGTGTGTTTGACTCAGTACATTGTCAAGTTTTGCGAACTAATCTAAATTAACATTGTTGGTTTGTTCTCAGAGCTGACGACATTGCAAGTGACTTCATGTTAAGCGGAGTGCAAGGTGTCCAGTGCATTCATGGAGACAGGTAAGGCAGATTGCCTAACTCAAAATGGTTACTCTCCTCACTAAATCTCATACTTTTTTTCAAAGTTTTTTCTGAGAGTTTGGTGGTACATCAATCAGAATCCCCTACTGAGTGCATTGCCGTTGTTATTGTCACCTTTCTGCTTTACGTTTTATTCTTACTGGAACTGGAAGGTGAAAACCTGATAGATGATTACTGTGGTGGTAAATTAAAATAGCTCTCCACAGGTGATTGTATCGCCTGCATATACGTAACTTTGTATTAAGCACACAAAAGTGTAACATTCTTAAACCAATCAAAGATGGTTTTTCTGTCAATCGCAGGAATCTCTTTTTCTTTTCAATCATTTGCAGTGAATTCTCGTAGTTTTTGTGTGGAAACTACTCTTATATTCAAGTCACGGTTTAACTGATTTTCAGATATTAGCCGATAATTTGTTTCTTTGTTTGTTTTGTTCTGTTTCAAAAATCTTCTCGTTCCTGCAGTTCGTTTGTTCTGGTAACATTTTTGTAATCGTTGGAGGTACTCATCTATAACCTTACATTTGCTTGCAGGGAACAAGTTGACCGTGAACAAGCCCTGGACGATTTCAAAACAGGCCTCGCAAAGATACTTATAGCAACTGACGTAGCTTCGAGGGGATTGGACATTCGTGGTGTCACGTGAGTCATCAGCATGCTTCGATCTGAAATGTTGGGGAATAGGGATAGAAGGCATAAAATGTGGGGGTGGGGAGTGGGGGTGGGGGGGGGGGAGTTCCCCTCATTTAAACTTGGGGGAGAAAAGAGGAAAGAGTGGATATGAGCGACTGATAGCCTGAATATTAACGGGACTCTTTCATCAACTTGTGAGATACTTTCAAGCAGTTGAAGTACGTTCCTATACCTCGGGGAATTACATGTAAACAGTAGTATTTGATTTTTTTTGGCACAATGTTCGACGTTAAGAACGCGTTAGGAAATGAGAATGACTAATGCTGGCAAGGATGGAAATGAATTACGATATAGAGGAGCTTGAAAATGCAAGGATCGCGTTTTCAATCTTGACTTATCAAGGTTATTTGAACTTTTACAACAAAAACCGTGCTGCAACAAGGAAATAGGACATTTTTACGTGGCTACAGTTCACTTAAGTTTTTATTCAAAATAAGACAAGGAACATGTCGTCAATTTCCTATATTTATTCTTTTTTTTTTTTTTCAGGTGCGTGCTCAATTTTGACTTCCCGCGAAACATTGAAGACTATGTTCATCGAATTGGCCGCACAGGGAGAGCAGGGTGAGTATAGCTGCGTGACCTTGCTATTGCAATCTGACAATTTCCGTAGCAACACGTGGTGAGACTGGAATTTTGCCGATCGAATCTCAAGGCGTTTGTCTTGGTAGTCGGCGAGGACATGAGCACGGCGTCCGGAGCCCAGAGGCTCGTTTGTTTCGTCACGCGAGACTAAGGGATAACTAGCACACTGTAGCTCACTGATTAGTCTCATTCGCAGCCGTTATTAAGGTCGTCACGCAACACGTCTCTCACTAGTGAGGAGAAGCGTTGCGTGACGAACCAAAGAACGGCTGCGAAGTAGACTACTCACTGGTAAGCAGCTTGGCCTTTCCGTCTTGCTGTGAATTGGAGCAGAGTTACCTAACGTGATTTTTCTTGTGTAATTTGCTTCAGGAGAAAAGGCACCTCCCTAACCTTTGTGACGCGTGACGACTGGAGACAGGCTCATAAACTAATAAACATAATGGTTGAGGCTAATCAGGTAAATGATGATTAAAAAAGTTAGAATTTTATTTTAAAGAAACAAGTAGATGGTGGCCGGCCCTGGCCCAGGCAAACAGAGACATGTAACCACAAAAGCAGTGAAAATGCGATTAGTGGCAATCGTGGTGACCAAAGGGGACAGATTACTTTTGCATTGGATATGAAAGGGAAAGAATGTGTTTTTGCTATATTTCCTCAGGTTACCCAACAAAGACACAAATTCCAAGGAAGTACTTATTTACAATGGAGCTGAGGCCATTTAAAAGTAGTTCTGTTCATTACTGTTTGGTGTTAACTTATTCACTGCACTCGGTTCGTAGGTAGTCCCTGATGAGTTAGCGGACATGGCACAGCGCTATGAAGAGTTCCGTGAACGGAACGGTTACAACAATGACAGGGGAGGGAGGGGAGACAGAGGAGGAGGTGGAGGAGGTAGGGTTGCTCAATTTCTGCCAAAAACAAAACCTCTATCTCGTTCCATGTTTAAAAAGAAGGAGCAAACCATGCTATTTTTGTCACGTAGAAGACAAGTTACTTCACCGCTATATAAAGCCCATACAATCGTGTTTAAAATTGTGCTAAATGGATTAAAATTCAGTTGTGTATCAAACTTATTCAGAAATCAAACAAGTTTTTCTGCTCTTTAAAATTGCAACCGACATTGACTCAGAACAGCTTTGTAAATTTTGTCCAAGAACGATTGAAACCAGTTTCAGAGAGGATTTATCCCTTTGCCGTTCTGTTTCGATGACAGTTATTTATTGTTCATCTATGTTTATTGATGAATTATATAAAAAAAATTGTCTTTTTTGTTTTTGTTTTAAGGTGGAGGCGGTGGTTGCTACAACTGTGGCGGCAGCGGCCATTTTGCTCGCGAATGTCCCGAGGGAGGGGGAGACAGGCGAGAAGGTGGACGAGGGGGTGGACGCGGAAGAGGACGAGGGGGAGGACGTGGGGGGAGAGGTCGACGTGATCGAGACGAGGATGAATACTGGCAGCAAGGATACGGCTTTTACTAAAGAGCGGTGTATTGAGTAAGAGGGACACCCTTCCCCACCCTGGTTAGTGTGAAGGATATTCGCTCAAATGGCCCGCAAGTAAAGTTTCACCGTTTCAGAGGAAAACGGTTTATTCCGGTGTCCTTTTACAGGATCTATACATAGCGAAGTGACCAACGTTGTACGGGTCGTGGCGCCTTTTTTCACCTTTGCCATCCATGGCAAATTTGTTCAGTGTTTCTCCCTCAAGTTGCCTCAACAGTTTTTGTGCTTTGTGAGGAGAAAAAAACACGTCGGTATTTTTGGAGTTGAAAATTCCCTTTGAAATCTTAATGGATATAACATGGTTAAAGTTGAACGATTTAACTGTAGTCAAGTCGTTTCTTTTACCGTTTTCTTTAGAGGAGCGGTTTTCATTGAATTTGTAAGAACTCCAGTATCATTTATAAGGATTGCAGTGTTATTGTGAACCCGCATCCCGTTGTTATGTCTGTGAAAGCCAGGGTAGTTCTTGATTAACGTTACGCTGACGTAACAATTAACGAATGGGTAATTAACGCTGGGCTGTTGGACATCTTCAAATGATTAATCCATTTGTAACATAGTCGTCGAGCTCGGTCGAGCTAAGGGACTGGTGCGAGTTTGGTGGTAATACCAAAACGGATGGAATGCGGGCTCACAGAACGACCTTGTTTTGTCAGTTGTGAGGGTGTCAAGAGTTTGAAATCTTTGGCCACAAGGAAACGAAATGCGTGGCTTGAAATTTTAAATGATCGTGGGACCAGTGGACGGGTAAAAACTTCAACGAAGGCAAACTAGAAATGAGCGAATTTTAAGGGAGGAGAAACGTTTCTTCCGACGCCAGAACATTTTCGTCATCAGGCTTGCCAGCCAGTTGTACGAGTATATTCCGAGCGCGACTGGCAATTGTTTCTCACGACTGTATTCGTTAAACTGCGCTTGCAGGATGGCGAAGTACGTTTTCTAGTCGGTGTTTCACTGTTGTCTCTCCCTTTTTATCGAGAGAAAAATTCTTGTTCGCTTCGACGTATAGTTTGTGACACCTGCTCGTTTGAAGGTACTTCTCTAGATTATTTTCTAGACTTCAAAGTTTTATTCTCGCTCTTCTTGGGTTAATTACCACCTAGAAATGTTCCTAAACGGGGTACGATGTTCCTTCAAATATTTTGTTTAAATTGTTATAAGATAAAATGTAAAGTCGGAAGGCATATGTACTTAACAAAAGATATACCAGAGCAGATATTTTATGACAAGAAACGACAATAAATATTTGGTCGCGTTCGTGCGGCATTTGTCTTAGAAATGCTAGCCTGCTAACGCAGACGTACTTCCGGCTGTCGCTTGTCTCCGCCGAAAAATAACGTCTGCGAACCCGAGCCCGCAGGAAACGATTTCTGTGACGCAGGAATTTTAAGCCAACCACAGTTTAGCTCAAGTAACCCCAGAACTTCTGCGCGAGGTATTCGCTGCTAGGAGCACTCGAGTTTCATTGTATCATAGAATCTGATTGGCCAAAGAGAAACAAAAGTCATTACGTCACAGAAATCGTTTCCTGGCTCGCGTTCGCAGACGTTATTTTCGGCGGAGACAAGCGACAGCCGGAAGTACGTCAGCGTTCGCAGGCTTAAGAAATGCCGGAATGATCCATTGTTGTGAGGATAAATTTAATGCTTCCTTACTTAAAACGGTTTCGAAAGTTAAAATATTTTTAGAAAGTAATAGTTGACTTCAAATTCTTGAAGCCTGAGCTCTTGTTTTAGTATAAAACCACATGAAAGATCTTGTTAACTAAGTATAAATAATTTAAAAAGAATAGAAACCATTTAGTCAGTCAGAACCCACTTTTGCCTCTATCTAAACGAGTCTTCGTGCGAAAACACTCCTATAGAAATTTGTTCCGCCTACATGTTCATTTTCATGCAAATCAAGCCATTTTCATAAGAAAGGTTTTTCACGAAGACTCGTTTTCAAACAGAGGCGTAAGTTAACTCGGAAATGCCTAATCCAAAGCACAACAGCGAAGGAAAGCGCATTATCCAGTCAGCTCTTAGCTAAACATGCAACGGATGGCAAGCGCGGGAAGA